TTATGTGTTGTTTCTATTATTAGCTTATAGAAATCTGTGTACTTTTGTTTCCAGATTGTTCCCTCAGTTGCGATTGGTTTTACTGCGTATGACATGATGAAGGCTTGGCTTCGTGTACCTCCTCGACAAAAATCAAAAGCAATCTCTGCTGCTGCATGAAGACGTGGAGTGCAGATTTGGTGAAGATACTTCGTTTTCCCCTGTCGTCCAATTCATAAACCAGCAATGATATTCAGATTTTTGTGCAGTAGGCGAAGACTGGTTATATTTGTATTTTGATATCAACAAATATATTTTAGCCTCGACTTATACTTTTAGAGATCATTAGTATATTCTCGCCCATTAGAGATCCACTCATGCTTCAAAAGGCTATCTCTGAGCCCTTCCTCGAGAGGCAATTTATAAGTCCTTACCCAGATGGAGATAACTTATATCTTAAAAAGTTCGTTATGTATCACAATATAATATTTATTATTTGATTATTGGAAAAAATTTAAAACTCAAAAGTAGCTGAATTAGATAGTATATTCATTTTTTTTTTCTTTTTTAAATTTTCACTTGATCTTTTAGTGTTAAAAGCCATTTGAGTACCCTTCATTTTCATTTGCCAAAATTTTATTATACTCTTGTGCTAGAAAAAGGAGATTTTGGTATGGTAGAATCGAACTGGATCAAAGAAAAGAACTGAAAATTCTAACAAATTCAATGTAAAAAAAAAAAAAAAAAAATGTCAAACAGGACTCGGGCATCCATCAAAGAGTACCAAGATTTGGTTAAAGCAAGACCAACAAAAATCTGCAAATCAAGGGACTGATGTTTCATTAGTCCTTCCTTTAAACTTCATTGAAGGCTTCAATAAAGTCCCCATTTTTCAAAATTTCCCCCCTTGTTTTGGTTGGGTTTTTTTTTTCTTTCCCCACACTCGTCTTTTAGCACATCGTTTACTACCAAGACTTTGAATTTTCAAAATTCAAAGGGACAACTCCTCTATATAAATGGGAGCATCCCCAGTGGTCCAAGCTATGCATTTAGTTTGTGTTAAAAGTTGGTGGTTGTATTCAATAGACTCAACCTTACATTCCTATACACCTAATCGTTCTATGCACTTATCGCTCGACCCAACCTAATATTCCTATATAGCAAGAATTCTTGAGGTGCCTTAATCGGTGCACAAGAGAGGTGTAAGGAAAGGAGTCATATCGATCTTTCGGTTGTAGGCCAAGTAGGCATATCGAAGGTGAACCAGCGTATAATAAAACACCCTCTTTTCTTGATATACCTATTGAAAAAATCCTAATGTGTTATGAATTTTGTTTTGCAGAATTTTGTTCATCTGGGATCAAGAACTTGAAGTTCTTGCTGGTGGTAACAAATGGGGCTCTCTCTTTCATTACTTACATCATCGTGGAATGAAAATTCGGGCCATCTGTTCTATGATTTAACAGAAAATGTAGAAACTTTTATCGCCAGATCAATAAGTTTTGGAAGCAAAGATGGAGAACTAATCTTGATGAAAACACACAGATTCAAGAGAATTGATATGGATAAACCCCAAAAATCTGAAAAAGAAAGGCTAAAATCACATGTTCCTTTGAGAAAATTGGTTGTAGACAAGGAGAATGAAACCTCAGATTATTCAAAAGTCGAGAAGTTGAAACCCCAAGAACCCTTCGTGTTTTCTTCTCCAAGACCAGTTGACGAACTGAATTCTGCTGCTACAAAGCTTCAGAAAGTTTACAAGAGTTACCGGACGAGAAGGAACCTTGCAGATTGTGCAGTTATTGTTGAAGAGCTCTGGTCTGTACCATAAGAACTTTCTAATGTTGTTACAAAGACTATCTATCCTCAATGTGAATTTCTCAATTCGTTCTATGTTGTAGGTGGAAAACCTTGGATTCTGCAGCTTTGAAACAGAGCTCGATATCGTTCTTCAACAAAGTTGAACACGAAACTGCTGTGTCCCGGTGGGCTCGTGCTAAGACAAGGGCTGCTAAGGTAAGTTGTGGACATAACTTGATGTACAAATACCGTCATACGGAGAAATTATAGGCTCAATCTTAAACCAAGTGATGTTTGTTTTCTCATAGGTTGGCAAAGGCTTATCCAAGGATGAGAAAGCTCAGAAACTAGCTCTACAACATTGGCTTGAAGCTGTAAGCCTCAACACTTATCCATAAATTTGTTTGATACTATATTACTGGTTCATACCTTTCTAACATCCAGGAAGGTTCCACTTACGCATAAGACCTGTTGGGTCGGGTGGCCAAGCTAGCACCGCTCGTTGCCTGTGTACGGTGTACTCAAATCGGTTTGCTGTGATACCGTAATGATCATCTGACAGTTACTCGTCTTTTTTCCCACAGATTGACCCTCGTCATCGCTATGGACACAACTTACACTTCTACTATGACGTGTGGTCGGAGAGCAGAAGTCTCCAACCATTCTTTTATTGGTAAGACTTTTTCTTATAGAAACATCACATCCATATGAAACTGCTTGCTATTTTGGACCTCGGGTTGACTGCCTTACATTTTACCTTGAAGGTTGGATGTTGGTGATGGTAAGGAAGTAAATCTTGAACTTTGCCCCAGAGTCAATCTGCAATGTCAATGCATTGAATATCTTGGCTCTGTAAGCTTTAATACATTTATCTCACTAAATTTTTCCTAAATAATTCTGTCTTAGCCATGACTATTGTTTTATTACTGTGGTTTGCATATTTTTATTGGACTACGTGGAGTCCAATCATTCTTTGTTAACATTTTCTGTATTGTGGATAAGTGTGTTTTGATAAATGTTGACCCGAAAAACCTAGAATCGGGCCGATAACTGGTCTGGTGGTTGTTTAAAAAACTGTGAACCTGGTATAAAAGACAGCAAACCGGGCAGTTAAACCGAGAATCGGACGGTTTCACCGAATCGATGTCTGGACCAGTTCGACCCTTAACCCTCTCCCATGGTCTTAAAGAATAGAATATATATCAATGAATGAATTTATTTTAATTTCCTGTCAATTTGATTAATAATACACGTTGGTGAAGCATTTGCCTGTATGACAACGTTCTTTTCCAACCTTTTATCTCATAGAATGAGAGAGACGCATATGAAGTGATTGTAGATGACGGGAAATTAGCGTACAAAGAAAGTGGAGTTCTCTTGAATACAGCTGAAGGCTCAAAATGGATTTTTGTTCTAAGTACAACAAGAACTCTATATGTAGCACAGAAGAGGAAAGGTGTTTTTCAGCACTCCAGTTTTCTTTCTGGTGCAGCTACAACAGCTGCTGGTAGATTAGTTGCTCATCATGGCATTCTAGAGGTACAACTTATGGACATCTATGTAAAATTATTCAATTATTTTACTTCGTTCATCTATATTTTGTGCGCGCTTATCGTTCTTGTCTTCCTTAGGCAATATGGCCATACAGCGGTCACTATCTTCCGACTGAAGATAATTTTAAGGAATTCATCATGTTTCTCGAGGAGAATGAAGTAGATTTAATAAATGTTAAGGTATTCCATTAACCCTTCTGGCCATAGTGCATACTGCAAATAAAGAAAATGGCAGAACATATAAAAAATTTGTTGTAATTCAGGCACGTATTGTAAATATTTGATTTTTTCCCACTTTATCCACAGAGGTGTGCAATAGATGATGACAGGACCTCATTTAAGGAAGATGCTGTCAAAGTTGAGAAACCTCATGGAGGCAATACATCAATCAAGACAGCTAATATAGAAGCACCCAAACTTGACTTGCCCAAGAGTTTATCTTACAAGTGGACCACTGGAGTTGGGCCCCGCATTGGATGTGTTCGAGACTACCCAATGGAGCTTCAGTCTGAGGCACTAGAACGGGTAAATTTATCACCTACAGTGAAATCAGGCAACCCGAAGAGTTGTTTGCCTGTCCCATCTCTGCGACCAAGCCCAAAAATGCGAATGTCACCCCGACTTGCATATATGGGACTTCCTAGCCCAAGGGTGTCTCTCCATTCCAGTCAAGTTTTAGCTCCTAGTCAAGCGGTGGCACACACATGCCAGTTCTCTTCCAATCAAATGTCGACCACGTCAAGTACAAAAACACAGTAAAATGACCAAGTGCGAAACACAGTAGAATAACGTAACAACTCATTACCACTTTTGCAATTTTTCATATAGCTACAAGGTCTATATTCTTGTTCCTTGATTCTTGTTGAACACAACTGAACCATGGGGTTAAATGGCTCCCCTTTATGCAAGTTCAAATTTTTTTGCTACCATAGGAAAAGAAGAAACATTCTATTTTTGGATTAATTACCTAATTGGTCACTGAAGTTTGGAGAAGGTCCGCAGGAGGTCACTAAACTTCAAAAGTTTCATTGTTAATCACTGAACTTTACAAATGTAATCTCATTCACCATTGAGAACTTCAAAAGTTTTTCTGCTAATCACTGAACTTTAAAAAACTTAATCATATCATGGAGAAACTTTTGAAATTCAGTGATCTCTTGAAAACTTTACGCAAAGTTCATTGACCAATCAGGTAATTAATCAATCTTTATACTTTTTTTTTCCCCCCCCCCCCCCCCCCCCCTCTCCTTTTTTTAACCTTAGAAAAGGTGATTATAAATGAAATAAATAATCAACGGGAGAATTATTCTTTAAGAACTGAACTCATACGACGGCTATGATATTTTACCCAATTTTAATAGAAATGGTTATGCAGAAATTATAGAGCAATGATTCATATGGTTTTGATTACCTTGTTTCTCTCTTTGAAGATAAAATTATGATTATTACAAGAACGAGTTGGAAAAGCAACACGATGAAGTGGAAAATAATGGAGTTCAACCTTTTTATGGCCTAATTGAGCATATTAATAGTTATGACTTTCTAGTATTGCCAAGCTTAGAAAAAAGAATAGCATTTTACCCCAAAAATAGTTGACAAGGTTCTTTGCTAACCTCTTTAAGATCAAAGAGGCAATAGATGACAGTTCTATGGACTATTTCAACTTCGATTGTCTTTTTTTATCATGACACTTGAATAAAAATAAAATATCCATTAATTTTTAGTTAAAGATGTGTGAATTTCAAAGTTGAATGCTATGAAGTAATCAATCGTGAAGAGTTTCTCTTTTGAAATGGTTCACTATATGGACCATTGTTGCTTCTTTAATATTAGAGAGGTCAGCAGATAACATTGTCAGCTATTCTCGAAATTAATGCTATTTTTTTCTAAGTTTGACTATGCTAGCGAGAATAAAATTGTAGAATAAGAGTACGGAAAAAAAAAAGAAAAAAGATAGAAAAAACAATTATAAAAAAACATAAAGATTGATAAATTACCTGATTTGTCACTAACTTTGCTTAAGTCTTTTGGGGGATCACCGAACTTTAAAAGCTTCTTCCTTAGTCACTTTACAAATGTAATCACATCCATCATTGAGAACTTCAAAAGTTTATTACTTTAAAAAAATATAATTTCATCCACCACTCAATGATTAATGGGGAACTTTTATAAAGTTCAATGACCAACAAGAAAATTTTGAAGTTCAGTGACTTCTTGAAAACCTTACGTAAAGTTCAGTGACCAACCAGGTAATTAACCCTTCTATTTTTCATTCTACTTTTCCGTTCAAGGTTACGCATATTTTGTATGTTACGTTTTCACTTACGCAGTTTTCTCGATATCTCATGCATCAAACACTGAAATACTAATAACTTCAATAGGCACAAGATTTCATTTAACTTATTCATAGTACCAAAGAATAACAAGCACGCTCAAATACTTCAAAGCTGAGAAGAAATGCTTTTATATACAATACGCGTTCCATGGCAAAAAACAAATTACTTCGTACTTCTATTACAAAAGTAAATATCATAGCCAAAACATGAGAGCTGGGGCGCACCAGAGAATATACTGAACAATTGAAGGATTTCCCATGACTTCCTTGCAACTGTAACAAAATTCTACACTCTGCAAACGACGTACCAAAAACTAAAAACAGTAGAAATAAATATCTATGAAGGGATGCACAAGATTGGTCCTAGAACATTAAGGGTTACGTCTACATATATACAAGATCTGGTATATCCTCACCCCAATACTGTGCTTTTGCTACAATATCGTCCACCTCGTCATCAACTTCAGGCCAATCACCTACTAATACTTCTTCCATATTATTACCACTCAAAAGATCTTCACTAAGCAAGACTTCCAGCGCATCCTCAGTAACAGGATTCGAGCTGCTACCACTGCTCGATTCACAATCCACAACAGTGGAAAACATCTCCAATTCGATGTTAGTAAGCTTGTCACAGTCTTGGCCTGTGTAGTTCAAAGACGGGCTCATAGCAAGCCTCCTCTTCCGTCCTTTTTCAATGCACCGTTTTTCATTCTTCTGCACATATTTGTCCACATACTGCTGGATAAAAGAAGGATTCCCGAAGGCTCTAGCAAGAAATCTCATCATATGTTGTTGCTTCCTCTTTGCGTCGTGCATTTTTTCCTCCATTACCATAATACGATCCCTCAAATTTTGCTGCTGCTGATTAAGCTTTGTAATTTCTGTCATCAAAACATTCCGGTCCATTCTCAGTCTATCGAGTTGTTCTTCCACACCAAAGTGCCCTAACTCAACACACGGATCTCCACCTCGTCGCCTCAATTTCTGCACAACATTTCTTCTCCTCTTGATCGTCTTGAGGAGATGCTTCTGTCCGCCCAAAAAGCCCTCATTTGCAAATTCCCATCGATCCGGATCCACCTTTTTAAAACCCTACAGATTGTAATAATTCTTCATTGTCAAAAAAACTAGAAGCCTAATCAAAAGTACTTTAAATGATAATCCATAAACCTCAGAACAGATCAAACAACCTAGCTTGTCTCTTCCACAGAATAACATGCCAGATCAACACGTGACTGTCAATTTCAAGAACAGAAGCTCATCAAAATAAAAAGAACAAATAAAAATTCACCAGGTCAAAACCTGGTAATGAAAACTGATAAATTTGGAGATAATCCCGCTGGATCCAGGCTTCAGATTCCAAGCTTCAAACATAATTTTACAATTCAACAACATGGAAAAAAGTTAAAACCGTAACCAAAATCTAGCTTCATTTTGTAACATGCAGGAAATAAGAAAAAAACCACTTATTGAGAAAATGGGATACGAATTAATTGGAGGAAAAAAGAAAACAAAATACACACGCCGTCTCATAGCACGATGCTTCATGAAAACGATAAGGAAAAAAAAAAAAAAGCTAACAGCCAAATATCAAAGTAACTACAAAATAGACCAAGAACTACTCGAGCACATAAACGCTGAGAAAGAACAATCAATAATCGAAATACACTGAGATGGACAAAGCTTTAAACGTCAACATTGTAAAGATTTCACATACCCCCATGGGCAGACCCATGGTGGGTCACGTGACCCACCAATTTTCTGAATATTGGATTTTTTTTTCTTAAGGCATGATATTTTATTATTTCTCCTCCTTCACTTTATACATGAGAGCGTTGTTTTAATGAGGCATATGATCATGTTGTAATTTTGTGTAATATATGAATTTTTGATACTCATTTCATCAAGTACTAAATAAAGATTGAAGCAAATGCACGAGAAAGTATCCTAAATAAAAACTAATTTGTTCAAGAGAATAAACTTTATCTCTTGGAGTGTTTTTGTAAGTGTGCCCATATGTTTTCTCCAAAATGGCCTTAGAGCTTCGATTATGAAATGGTTAGAGATGACACCAAACAATATGTTGCAACCACAACTTCCTAATTTTAGCGGGATGAATTGTGGTTCATGACATCAACAAATGAATGCGTTAGTATTGTTCCCAAGACCGACTAGAATTCATAGAGATTTTTGAAACAATTTTGGACACTATGTCGGCAAAACAAGCCCTATATTTGAAGACTATGTACATAGTGGATCATAAGATTCTCGACAAACTGATGGCCATCAATTTAAAAAGGCAGCTATTTGATTTGGTAATGTAAGAGAAAGATGATTTATTTTAGATGAGTAGAAAATGAAAATACGTCAATTTTAGGCTACAACAGAAAGCAATTGAAACGAACCATATGGAGGAAAAAAAAACTAAGAAAGTGGGAGTAAATGTCGGGAAAACAAACAAACAAGTCTAATGAGAAAGAACAACATTAAAGCATATTTGAAAGTTGTAGATGATGGATATAATTATGGAACGTTATCAAAATATAAGAACACGTAAAGAATAATTGTAATAAGATATCAAATGCTATAGTTTTTTCAATTTTTTTTTTTTTAGTTTAATTGCGCCCCCTAATTCAAAATGTTTTTGTGTACACAACTGATACCCCGAAACTCAAAAGATAGTGACCATTTTAGAACTTCAACCTTGGAATCCAGTGTATCTATTGAGCTTTAGATGAAATCAATTGCTCGATTGAACATTTTGAGCTCAAAAAACATGTTGAGCTATATGAAGAGAATACATTTTATTCAATTATATTTAACTTTAGCATTCAACAAATAACTCATAAAGTTGATTAAAAGCTAACCATTTATGTAGAATAGAAAAAGAGAGATTATTTATGATTTGGAATGAGCACATCAAATATCCTGGTTACATTTACAGGTAATTAGTTAGCCAAATAGACTATTTTAACCAATTCATATATGATAAAATACTGCAATATTTACAGAGAGAAGAAAATCTAGAGTCTAATCGACTATGAGTTGTACCAGACACTTCAAGTACAAACTAAAACTACCCAAAAAATAAAATAAAATAAAAAAACGAAAGATAAAATCTTCGTGGGATTTTAGAATTTATCAAGAACCCTAACCCTCCCTCCTATATTGCAAATGCAAGGGTCTACTAAGATTGCAAAAATCAGAAATTGATCAACCCCATGTGAAAACTACAACAACTCAGGCAGTCAAACGTTATAAAAATAAATAAATAAATAAAATTATGGATTGTTGAGAATACTTACATATGTATTAAGCTGTCGAATGAAGCTGGAAAAATTGCTATGCTTGAAGTACCTAGGCAGCATAATAGTGGAAAATTTGTGAAAATCCCAAACAATAAAACTGTTTCTGGCCCTATTCCATGAGATCACTGAATCTGTTGAAGGATCCTCCACCATTTCAAAAGTCTTGGTTAGAAATGGAGGGGGCCCAACATCAAACAATCCCTCCATTGGCAGCGGACCACCACCAGTACTACTGCAGCATTCCTGTTCTAGCTTTACTTTCACATCTTCCATTAGCTTAAACTTTCTTGAATTACAGTCAATATTTAGTCTCAATGTAGAGATGCAAGTAAATTCAGTGCTGAGTTAATGAAGCCTGTTTCACAGACGCTGAAACGAAGGCCACTGCAAATTGCTTGGGGTTGATCGGATATATATATATATATATGGAGGTGGCGTGGAAAGTTCGAGGGAGTAAGAGAATCTTGGGACTTTTGTCCGCATGTGTCATCCAGGACATTGTAGTTGTTTATGGATTAGTTGAGAAAAAGGCTTATTTTTCGATAGACTAACGATATCATTGGAGTGGGTCCATTTTTTATTTTTATTTATTTATTTTTTTTTTTGAACACTGTAGTTGTTTATCGATTAGTTGGGAAAAAGGCTTATTTTTCGGTAGACTAACGATCTCATTGCAGTGGGCCCTTTTTTTTTTCTTTTTTTTTTTTTTTCTTTTTTTTAAATCTTCCATTACATCATAACTGACATTCATATCTACGTGAAAGAAATGTATGCAATGATGCGATAAATGAGTTCTTAATTAAGAATGTAATATTGATTAATGAAAAATATAATTAAATAAATTAAATAATTTCATATTTAATTAAACCTATTAGTACAATAAAGATGGTTCAAATAATGTAATATAGATGGTTGCTCTTGCATCATATCATTACGTTTTTCGAAATGAATAATATTATTTAGCACAGTAATTAGGACTATCAATGGATTGAATTTTGATTTGAATTCAATTCAAATCCGATTAAATTTATGGGATATAGATTTAGAGTCTCAATCCGATAAAGATCCGAATTTGATCATTTGTTAACTAAAAGAAGGAAATATAGATATATGTCAATTCGATCCGATAACAACCTAATCCATTATATTATAATGATATAAGGGAAAAATTCATAACTAAGAAGTTTAGTATCACTCATTTCAAAACTAAGAATAAATATTTTAAATTTCAAAAATCAGATATTTATTAAAATTTATTTATGATTTAATTAATTAATTATATATTTCATTGACTAAATATATTAAAGTCACAGATCTATGCAATTTGATCACAAATTAAGAATTTAGCTAGTCCCATAATTTTTCAGTTATAATTCAGAATTTTTATATGTCACTAATTATTTTACGATCACAATTCAAAAATTTCATAGGTCAGAATTTGTTCATCGATTACAAATTAAAAATTTATAAGTTACAATTCATTTATCAAATTTATTATACAATCATAAATTATCAAATTATCGATCATAAATTAACAATTTTTTAAGTTATACATTATTTTTTGTCACAATTTATTTTTTTATCAGTCAATGAAATAATTTATGACTATCACCAACTCTTGAGACCACCATCTCACTATCGTCTCAAATAGCATCACCACCGTTTTCGTCAGAACCACCACCACCTCCTCCAGACACCAATAGCAACAACACCACCACAAACAATTAACCCATTTTTTTAGGTCACAAATTATTTATTCATCATAAATTAACCAATTTATTAATCAAAATACACGAATAATTCATCATAAACACTATTAGTCCCACTCCATCGTCGTCACCACCGCACCAACCCCCCCGCCCCCCGCCCCGCATCCAAGAACACCAAAAAACCACAACACCCATCCCACAACCAAAAAATAAAAAATAAAATCATCTTCATGACTACGATTTGTGCCTACTACAGTTGCGATCTGCTCTGCTGTTGTCCCACGGCCACCTGACCACAACCACCAAGAAAACCCACCCCAGCACCACAAAAACATAAAACTATCAACACCCATTCAGCAACCAAAAAAAAAAAAAAAACATCAGCACCGCGATATGCACCATTTCAGTCGCGATATACACCATCTAAACTCATCTTCATTTGAACCAATCGACGCCTCTCAAATCTGCTTAGAAATCTCAGATTAACACTCCTCTCAGATCGAAGGGCGATGTATTGCTATGGGCATCGTGGTGGCGCAGCAGCATCGCGATTATGCAATTTTTGGAGAGGGAGGGTAGAGAGAGATGGGAGAGAAAGAGAGAATGGAAGAGGTGCCGGTATAGAGAGCGAAAAAATAGATGCTATGAGATCTCAGATCGGCGGGTGACGTATTCAGGTGAGCATGGTGGTGACAGCAACGACTGTGTACTGTGGGCAGTGGTGTAGTTTTTGGAGAAAGAGGGTAGAGAGAGATGGGAGGAGAAGAGAGAATGGATGGGGGTGCTGGAGAGAGAGAATCGATTGGGAAATAATGAAGATTTGGGAGGGTAGATGATAGTGGACAATTTCATTTGGATATCGATGTTTTTATTCACATTTTTTATAAGCACATCAACTTTTAAAAATAAGTTTTTATTATATTTTAAATTCTATGTAAATTTGCTTAAATAGACATAAACAAAATTAAATAAAAATACAAAACTCTAAATTGATCCACTAATTTTTACTTTTATTAAATTATCCTAAATTTTTTTTTATTCTTTTAGAGTTTGTGTTTAATTAGAATCTTAATAGATTAAAAAAATTACATGAATATAATTAGGGAAAATTAGGCAATACTCTAAAAAATTCACAACTTTGATCACTACCCTATTAACTGATGAAATCATATAATTAACGTAATTACAACACCACCCAAAACCCAAGTAAATAGTTCATATTCCATAAAACTCTCAGAGAGAGATTTTCCTCACTCATTACTCCACTTTTTCTCACCACATTTTAGAATTGCATCGTATTTTTTCTATTTGCCCTGGAAGTGTGAGGCAGAGCGCCACACTTATGAAAAGTACGAGTATGTGCTTGTTATGGAGAGAATGCTCCAGATGCAGAAGATCTGTGAGCAAGAAGCCAAGATGAAGGGCTCTCAGAAAGGCCAATAGTCCATTCCTCTCATCCCTAAAATAGTCGATGCTTAACTCTAAAAGATTCTGTTAATTAAGACAATGCATTATTTAGACCTTCGCTGAATTCAAGTTCTTCAATACTAGGATGTTTATGAAAATTTTCAGGAAGAAGCTAAACTGTGGGCAGTGGTAGTTATCGGAGGATTTAATTAGAAATTGTTTTGATGTTATGTAAACATGATTACTAAACTATTCTCACTTTCCCCTGATGATCTAGTTCCAAATAAATTTTACACATTTGACATCTGTTTTACTATATGTTTTTTGAAAAAACTATTGGTGTTTTTTATTTTTCATAAATGATTATTAGTTCAACTTTTATGTAAGTTTATGATAAATTCGTAACTTTATCAAAGCGAGATAATGTCGTTACTGATAGGATGTATGATGAGTTGTGAATATTTGTATTCTAGTATGAATTTTCTTTACAGATTCAAAAAAAAAAAAAAAAAAAAAAAAAAAAAAAAGAATGAATCCATAGTGTTAGAGATGTATTTAAAATGAGATGAATATATAAAATTTATGTGGATATATGTTATTTAAATGAATGAATTTAGTAAGGACAAGATTGGAATATAACGTGGATGTAAATAGTACTTTTTAAAATTTTTATGAAGGATGAACTTAGAGTGGGATATACTTATAAAAAGTGTAAATGAAAATAACGCTACCATTTAATTTTTGTAGTATTATTATTAATATTTTTAATAATATAATCCAACTTTTGTATATAAAAACTTTAAATTTGATTTTTGAAGTTGAATCTTGAAATTTTTTATTGGGTGTAATTTCCACATGATATAATATATTTTATATATTATTTGATAATTTATTACGCAATTTTTTTCATTTTGAAACTTGTATTATACTTTACTCATAAATTTCAAATAATAAATAATATTAGATAATAATATAATATTGTTACTTGAAATATTTGAAGAGATTAAATTTTTATTAATCAAAATAAGCTGAAAATAATAATTTATTTATTTTATCATAAATTAAACAACCAAAGGAACCAACAGTTGGAATTAATTTCATTATTTTCCGACTTTTCACTTCTCATATCAGATACTCACTAGAATATCATAAAATTTACAATCTATAAATAGGTGGACTAAGAATGGGGTAAAAAGATAATTTAACCTTTTAATTCTTATCCTAGAAATTAACTAATATAAAAATTTTATCTTTCAATTTTTTCAATTTCAGATCGGGTTATCGAATCGAATATCCGATAACATAACAATCGGATATGGATTTAACAATCAGATATTATTAGATTATCGGATATGATCGGATAATTATTCTTAACGGATTGGATCGAATCGAATTTGGGCAAATCCAATCCATATTTGATCCATTTATAGCTCTAATAACGATGTTAGAACACCAATTTAAGTTATCACACTTGATAGATTCAATTAAATGAATCATTTTCTATTACATTTAAATGAATATATCATTTAATGTCATGCAATTGACATCTAGACTAATGCTTAACATTAGTACTATTGAATAGCATTACTCATTCGAAATAGATTGCCATTAAGAGTATGCTTATCAAAGTTCAAATCATATTTAAGTTAATTAAATATTTTTAGTCCTGAAATTCATAACCTA